TGTGGCTGGCTATTTATATGTACTTATTATAAAATATAGCATTTTACCATTTTAAGGGGCTTTATAATTATTCTTTCTTATTTTTCATTCACCCTAGTAAATATATCCATATTTAAGATGAATAAAAAAGTCCCAGTTTGTGGAAAGAATGCCCATCTGGATTTTAGGGTCCTTGTGTTGATCACTGGCATAGCTGCCCCTGCTTCCAAAGTGTGACTTGGAGGTAATTTTTGAGGGCTTAAGTCAAAGAACTTGCGTAATGTTGTTCCTCAACTTTCCAGCAAACTCCTTACTTACATTGCTGGGGTTTTACCACAAGCCAAGCATCTGTTTTATATTTCAGGTACTCGTGTCCTGTTGTGATATTCGTGTCCTTTTAGCTTTGGGAGTTTTTCCTCCCAAGGCAGGAAGGAACAGTGGGGTTTGGAGTGACAAGATTGTGCCATGTTCCATGAGTCCTCAGCTCCTGCTCTAGTGATGCTGGGACTCCCAGACTTCCATACTCTGCCTCCATTACACGTGATTAAAACCCTTCTTCAGATAGCGTGTGGTGGTGCAGGCCTATAATCCCAGGCCTTTGGGAGTCTGAGGCAGGAGGATTGCAAGTTCAAGCAATCCTAGGCAATTTAGTGACTTACGTAGAAAGACCCAGTCCCAGGGGAAAAAAATGAGAAGCAAGACCTGTCATGTAAAGGTACAAGATCCCAATAATGAATGTAACTGTTCTATATACCTAGAATGTACCAAGAAACTCAATAAAAGAAAAAAAAAAAGAAAGACCGTGTCCCAAAATAAATTATAAAAGGAGCTGGAGAGGTAGCTCAGTGAAAAGGGCCTTAGCCATAATACAGAATGAAAAGAAAAGGAAGAGTTAAAGGAAAGAAAATAAACACGCAAACAAAACAAAACCCTCTGCTTAGGTTGACAAATTTAAATCAGAGGAACTTTGCATCTTCTGCTCAGTATGAGCAGAAAAGAAAATCTATCCATGTATTTATCAACTTTACTGAGCACCTACTATGTGTCATATACTTAGTATGATGGAAATTGATTTCTTGTACACCTTGGTCGTGGGTTCATATTTACTTTATAAATTCTCTGTGTACTCTTTCCAGCTTTCGTGAAATATGGTATGTTTCTTATGTAAACCTACCAACTAAAAAGATTTAATGTCCTTGGTATGTCTACATTTCAGGATTACTCATTTAGGGCATGGACGTAAGAAGCAGGGAAGATTTTTTTTTTTTTTTTTTTTTTTTTTTTTTTTGGTACCGAGGATTGAACTCGGGTCCTTGCGCTTGCAAGGCAGGGGCCAGAACCACTGAGCTAAATCCCCGGCCCAGGGAAGATTTCATAATGTCTCATTCATCAAAGAACTTTGTTCAGAAATCCCTAGCACTTCTCTCATTATGCACTTCTATTGAAATGGTATTTTCTATTAGTTTTTCAGCGGAAGTGTCAAAATGCAAAGACAAAGCAGAAGAAGCCAAAAATCATTGGACTCATTAATGTCACATTTGAAATTGTAGCTTTTGATTCTGGAAATTACTTGAAACAGTAATAAAGCCACCTAATCTAAAATATCTTTTTGAAAGTTTTTAGGAAGCTCAAATCTAGAACAGTCAAGAAGCTGGTTTGATTCTTAGCTACCTACCATTGTTCCTGTATTGCAGCATTTCCTTAGTTTTTGTCTCACTGAGTTTGAGTTACTACCTAAAAATTTAATTTATATAGTTAAAAACATCATTTGGGATATAGAGGATATTGGAACAATCTAAGTACATGTTGTTGTTCTTTGTTAATTACTGATAAACTTCTTTTGAAGAATACCCTTTGTCAATTTAGTAATAATCGAGACAATTAAAAAACAACTCTTGCTGTAGATGACCTCAAGTATTAATAATTTCCCCCAAAAGTGCTTTCTCTAGCCTCAATCTTCCTTTAGAATATAATTTGTGAAGAACTGATATAATGATGTATTATTCAAGACATAACCTTTCAATTAATGTTTCATTAATTTACCATCTTCTCAGGTTATTAATATCATATTAGGAAAGCATCAGGTTCGTTACATCAAACACTCCTCTTTAAAGGCCATGCCTTCCTTGCCTGGGTGTCTGTAGCCTCTGTGAAGAGGGCAGGTGCTGGACTTCCCTGCAGGCTCAGGAGACTGAGTTTCTAAGCTCAGTTATCATTTCACTTTCTACACTTGAACTGTTTCACCAAAGGGAGTAATGCTACCAGCTCCGCCTCTTCAGTAGTGTTATGGGGACTGACCAAGCAGCAAACTATGGAAACTTAGAACACAGTAGCCTGAAAAAGATACGTCTCTGCATTGTCATCTGCTGCCAAGCAGTGTCTGAATGGGAAGTAAAAAATTTCCGTGTATGTATGAAGCATGTTACATAAAGAAATTTGGACAATAAAGTGATCCTTTTCTCACAGTATCAGTGATTAAACAAAATTCAATCCTTTATTTAACAAATATATATTAAGTACAACCTAAGGGAAAGATACTCTATTGGGTGCATTAAGAAGTGCAGCTATTTATTCAATGTGCATTTGGAGTTAAAGATTTGCTGTATAATATGTAAATGTCATCAATAGCATGACTTTTTTCTATTCGCTCATCTTTATAATCCCAAATTCGGCACCTACAACTGGTGGGTGCATGGTCTTCACGCTGTTATTTTAGTTGGAGTTAGTACAAATACTGAAGTCTTACCTCAGTGGCTTTCATGTTATTTAGGTCTCTAGACTTAAAAAGCAATGGAAAGAGTGTAAGATATTTAATAGCTTTGTTAAGGTCCAGTTGTTCCTATTATGGATCTACAATTCATTTCACTGTAGCATTGGCCCCATAGACTGCAGCACTGACTTCCAATGCAAAGAATCTATTTGTGCATAAGTGAATGCATTATTGTTATGTGTTAACACTTGCCTCATCGTTTAGTCCCCATTAGAAATTATATGGAGGTATGCAGAATAGGGCTTTGTATCTGAACAGTATATTCTAGCGGACAAAACCATGCCAGATGTTCATGCAATCATACCACTTTTTATGAATATTTGCCCTAACCAAACCCACCTAGTTTCATTAGAAGATCTTATTATTATTAGGACTCATCATCTCCATTAAACTGCAGGGTGAGGAAAGACACAGAGGGCCCAAGAACCTTATGCCCCTGCACTGGACACGAGCCAGGAGGGGAAGAAGTCACACTCAATCTCCCAAAGGTCTCTCTGGCTCCAAGCTCATTTGCACAGTACTTTTCCTACTTGAAGGAATATCTTGGATTTTTATATGATGTGCTCTAGCAAAGTCCTTCATGTTTATCTTTCATGTGTTCTAATAGGGCAAGGATACGTAAAAATGGGGTTTTCTTTAGACACAAGGCTCCCGTTTTCATGACATTTGTCAAGTGAGTCACCATGCCTTCTCTTGCCATCCAGACATGAAGATAACGACTTGCCAGCCTTTGCTCTTTCCCCTTTAGTCCAATTGCTACACTAAGCAGGAGGATTGCTGTGCAGCAGGTATTAAAGAATCTTTATCTCTTCAGCCCAACAACATTCCCTAGCTGAGGACCAAGACCAAGTTCAGAGGTCGGAGATCTAGCAAGATATTGGGGTGCGCTCCAGATCTTCAAATAGCTGGAAAGCAGGGTCCACTTTTATTATCTCTACTCTTAGCATTCCCACCCATGCTTCGAGTTTAGCTTAGTACTGAGAGGCCACCATTGTGCTGATGTGGGACAGGAATGAGACCAGCCCTGGATGACACAGCTTCTAGGTTGTTGCATCCAAGCTGAGTGTTCTTCACTTCCAGTCAGTGTCCACCTCCTGGAGTCATAAATTAGCTGGTACTTTGCAACAACTGATTGCTTGGTCCCATATCATTTCATCTCTACTATGTGTTTAACTTGCTATTTGACTTGGCTAATATGCGTAGAATTCTTCTAATTCCAATCAATAGGAGTGCAGTGTGTATTTCCTTGGTTAACTGTCTATGCAAAGTCCATCAAGTATAAGAAAGGAGGGAAGCAGATTTTATTGTTTGGAAAAAGAAATTCATTGGTATTTGGAGGATGCTGCACCTGGGTTGGTTAGGCGTTCAGGGTGACCAAATAATCTTTGTACTGCCTGCCTTCGTTAGATGCTCTGCTTCGGGGGAAATGCTCTGATTTATGAGAACCCTGGTGTGCAGAGATAAAGCATTTGTGAGTTCCTCAAGCTCTGTCTTCTACATCGCTTATTCAGGGTGGGGCTAAGGGTCTTGACCTTGTCACTCTTCCTGAGGAGAAGAGGAAAGGAGCAGATGAGTCTGATGGTGAATTCGGTGTCCCAGAAAAGAGAGGCAAAAAATCCTTTTCAGCACACTGACATATCCCAACCCTTCCTTAATTGCCTGCAATGCTTGCTGATAGTTGATAGCAAAAGGAAATTGTGAGATTGGTTTTGCTATGAAATGTATAAGAAAAAGGTAACTGAGTTGCTTGTTTTTCTTTCCAAATTTTTTAAAAGATGGTAATTAGAAGAAGTAACATCAACCAGGCTTGACTGAATGCGAACAAGACCCCTATAGGCAGCACAGTGTATTAGTGTAAAAATATGCCCAGACAACATAACTTGTCAGAGAGGATTATTTCTACTTAGTGAATCTGCAGGAGCCCTTTTGCTGTACTATTCAGCATTTGACTAAGGAAGAGAGAGAGAGAAAGAGAGAGAGAGAGAGAGAGAGAGAGAGGGAGAGGG